TCATGAGTTCCCACTAGCTTGGTTCAGTTGTCTCTGTAGATTTCCCCATCATGATCTTGACCCTCCTTGCTCAAATAATCCCTATTCCCTCTCTTTGACTGGATTCCCAGAGCTCCGCCTGGTGCTTGGCTTTGGATCTCTCTGCATCTGCTTCCATCAGTTACTGGATGAAGGCTCTATGATGACAGTTAGGGTATTCACCAATCTGATTTCTGGAGTAGGCTAGTTCAGGTCCCCTCTCCCCTATTGCTAGTGATCTAAAGACCACAGCAACTCTTATAAAGGAACACATTTAATTGAGGTGGCTCACTTACAGTTTCAGAGGTTCAGTTCATATCATCAGGAAGGGGAGCGTGGCTGTGTGCAGGCAGACATGGTGCTGGAGCTGAGAGTGCTACATCGTGCAGGCAACAGGAAGTCAAGTGACTGTCACACTGAGGGACGCTTGAGCAAAAGAGACCTCAAAGCCCATGCCCACTGTGACACACCTCCTCAAAGAAGGCCGTACCTCCTACTAGTGTCACTCCTTTTGGGGGCCGTTTTATTTCAAACCACCACACACAGTAGCTAATATCATCTTCCATCCTCCAAACCCACTTTCCAAAATCCTGAAACTCTTACAGCACATAAATCAATCACTTTGTTCTCTCGTTCCAATGCTGCCAGGGGAGTCTTGTTCTGGTTGACAGAATCCATGGTCAGTTTAAACACCTGTGATGATTAGTTTTCATTGACAATTTGACACAACCTAGAGTCACCTGGGAAGAGAGCGTTGAGGTCCTGTCTAGATCATGTTGGCCTGTGGGCATGGGGTGGGAGATGGACTTGATTATGTTTACAGGTAAGGGGTGACCCAGCCTAAAGTGGGCGATGCCATTCGTTACGTTTGGGTCCTGAACTGTGGAAGGGTAGAGAAGAGGAGCTGGGCAGTAGGCTTGGGTGTGTCCTTTCCCTCTCTGCTCTTGACTATAGAGCTATGAGTTCTTGGCTGTGGACGCAACTAGCAGTCTCAAGTCCCTGCCTTGATTTCCTTCAAGGATGGGCTGAAACCTGAAGTTTTAATAAACTCCTTCTTCCATAAGCTTTTTTTTTTTTTTTTTTTGGTTTTTTCGAGACAGGGTTTCTCTGTGTAGCTTTGCGCCTTTCCTGGCTCTCGCTCTGTAGACCAGGCTGGCCTCGAACTCACAAAGATCCGCCTGGCTCTGCCTCCCGAGTGCTGGGCCATAAGCGTTTTTTTTAAATTTTTTTTTGGTGATGGTATTTTATCACAGTAATAGAAATGAAACTTGGACAGGACCCAGGCTCTGGGTTCTGTCTTTCACCTTCTTCCCTTACGTTCTTCCTCTTTGTTCTCTTTTCTACCTCATTCCTGCATTCCAGAGACACACTTTTTGATATTGGCTTTCCTGTTCTCTCCCCTGGCAAAGGCTCATCCTCGGAAGGCTGTGTGATTGGGTATTTCTCTCCCTCCAGAACTGTGACGGACAGCCTCTCAGTAGCCTCATGAGCCTCCCCTCCTGATATTCACACTCCTGTGTATTCCTCTGCCCTTGAGTGCAGACAGATACCCAGGCTTCTGACCAAAAATCATGCAAATACAGCAGGGTGTTTGAGTGTCATCCCTACAACAGCATGCTGTTATCTAAGAACCCCCACTTAAACCAGTGCAAAAGAGGATATTCTTCCCCAGTTCAACTTCCAGAAGAAAACACAGCCCTGAAAACTTGATTGTAGCCTTGTGAGACCCAAAGTGGAGAGCTCAACTAAACCTCTCTGTCCCCAGACCCACGCAAACTGTAAGACAAATAAATGGATGTTTAATGGGGCTAAGGATGTGGTTCAGTGGGTTGATTCATTGCCTACCATGCACAAAGCCCTGGGTTTGATCCCCTGGTACCACATAAACTGGGTGAGGGGGTCCTCGCCTATGATCTTAGCCCTTGGGAGGTGGAGGCAAAAGGATTAGCAGATCAAGGTTGTCCTTGACTATGTTAGGAGTTCAAGGCCAACCTCGTCTACAGGAGACCCTGTCTAAAAAAAAAAAAGGGATGTTTTGAGATTCCAAATTCATGGTTATTTCCTATGCAGTTATAGACTACCAACCATGTCCACTCACTGTCTATGATTTTCTTCTTGGGATTTCATTTCTGACTGTCCTGTTCCTGAGTATTTCGATCACGGATGCTCCAACCATGTGCCCATTGCCTTGAAATCAATTACACATTATTGCTCTAATAGATTTTAATTCACAGGCATTAGAACTTCATGTACTCACATTTAGCTCTAAAAACCCAGTGATAAGTTGCTGCTTCCAAGCTGAGTCCTCTGGATCATCATATATTCATCTTCTGATCTACTGACCTTACTGCACATCAGATTTTCTACTAATTCACTCTACTGAGACATTCATCTATGACCATATCATTGAGACCAATTTAGAATCCCTAGCCAGAACCTTATCCCCTGCACTCAGCTCCCACTTCCCCAGTCCTTTCTGAGTTATTGCATCTTTATTGCTTCCTGGAGTCTCCAGCCAAGTCCCATCAGAAAAGAAGGAACATGTCCATAAAGGAACTGATCTGACCATTTGGGAAGAGGGTGAGTGGGAAGGGAACTTATCCAGTGGTCAATAAAGCTAAGCAATGATAGACTTGAAGGAAAATGTCATTAAACCTATCACTTTGTATAGGAGATGTACAATAATACCAATTTGACTGAAAAATCAGAGCAAGGCATGGTGGACATCTATAATCCCAGCATTTAGGAGGGGGTGACAAGAGCATCAGGAGTTCAAGGCCGTTCTCCACTACATAGCAAGTTCAAGGCTTGACTATATAATGAGTTAAAGGACAGCCTGGGCCAAGGCCAACTTTGTCATCATCATCATCATCATCATCATCATCAGTTACAAATATCAATTATATCTATTTATTAATTATTATAACAATCACTATAATACTAAGAATATGAAGTTACAAATATAATTAATAATATTTATACAAGTTATATAAAATTATAAAATATAATTATAACTAATTATATTTGTAATTATTATAGCATTATTTTAAAACTCAAGAAGTAAGGCTGGGGAAATGACTTAGTGGGTAACGGACCAAGTATTAAGGACCTGAGTTCAGATACCCAGAACCTATCTAAAGCTGGATTGGTGCATCTGGTAGTACTGGTCGTCCAGTACTCCCTCAGAGAGATGGGAGGTGGAGACAGAAAAACCTCTGAAACCTCTCAGGCCAGCTAGTCTGGAGGACACAGCAACAATACAAAAAGGAGACCCTGCCTCAAACAAGGCAGGAAATGAAGACCATCATCTGATCGTCATGTGTATGCCACGGCACTCTTGCACCCACACTCACACACATATACACATATATCATATATACCACAAAATGATTTTTAGAAATCCAGGGAGTGGAGGGTTGGCTGGATGGGTAAAGGTGTTTGCTGTTAAGTGTAACGACGTGAGTTTGATCCCCAGACCCATGCAGTGGCAGGAGAGAAGCAAGCCTCACAACTTGTCTCCTGACCTCTTCACACAGGCTGTGGCATGGATGTGTACATCCATGCACCCCCGACAAATAAATAAATACAATTTTAAAGCATACGAGGAGAAGATCTGAGGGTGCTCCGCTCACCTGTGACCACCAACTGTAAGTGCTGACTCTGTCCTGACCACCGGTGGGAGGTTGCTGTCCTGTAGGCACAGAAATACCCCCCAGCATCTTCAGGCTGCAGGTTAGTGAGGTGGAACTCGGCCTCCTTTCCCGCTGATCTCAGCTCTTGCTGGTACCCAGAGTTGTGTAACTTTCCCAGAGTGACTGTAACATTCTGGAAATGAGTCCAGCATCGAAGAGTGACGTTACTCTTGCACTTGACCACAGAGCTGGGCCAGGCACTGATGGAAGGTCTGGGAAGTTCCTCTGGAAAGAATTCAGAATTAATTAACTCTTCATCACAGTGAACCTCTCCTAAAATTCTAAAGGATTAAAGGTGTGATGGCTAATCTCAATTATAACTCAATGAAATCTATAATCATCCGACTTTTTTACCCATGCTTATGAGAGGTTGTCTTGATTAGCTCAATTGACATGGAAAGACACATTCACTATGGGTGGCACCATTCCCTAGGCTGTGGTCCCACATTGTGTAAAATGGAGAGGGCTAGCAGAAGGGCTCAGCTGGTAAAAGTTCTCACTGCCAAGCCTGACAACCTGAATTTGATCCCTGAGATCACATCGGTGAAAGGAGAAAACTGACTCAAAATCCCCGGACCTCCATGCACATGCTGTGACATATCCACATCCCACAAACCCGTGTACAAAAGTAAATGCAAGAATATCATTTTTGAGGAGAAAGTGAGCTGAGCATAAGGATTCATGGCTCTCTCATTCTTCAATATCCTTTCTCAAGGCAGGAGAGATGGCTCTGTGGCTAAGAGCATTCCAGAAGACCCATTCAGGTGTCTCATGACCAACTGTTCCTCTAGCTCCAGATTTCTGACACCTGTGGCTTCCTAAGACACCCAAATTCATATACACAAACACACATACATACACACCATTAAAAATGTTTTTAAATTCTTTTTTTCTTTTCTTTTTTTTTTTTTTTAATTTTAGGACTGGAGGGATGGGTCATGGTTAAGAGCACTGGTTGCTCTTGCAGAGGACCCAGGTTAGGGTCAGGTACCCTCACAACAGTTCACGATTGCCTGTAACTCCAGTTCCAAGGGGGAATCCAATGCCCTCTTCTGGCTTCTTTCAGTACTGCACACACATGGTACATCCACATATGTGCACAGAAACACTCATATACACAAAAGAATTTTTTAAAATTTAAAATAAAATTTTATTGTGTGTGTGTGTGTGTGTGTGTGTGTGTGTGTGTGTGTGTGTGTGCACAAAGTGAGTATGTGTCATGCTGTATATGTGGATGTCAGAGGACAACTTTTGTGAGTTGATTCTCTCCTTCCACTGTGTGGGTTCCAGGTTGTCGATCTTGGCAGCAACTGCCTTTATTGGCTGAGCCATCTCATCTGCCCACTCTCTTCTCCTTGAACATGGATGCAATGTGACCAGTTACCTCAAGCTCCTGTTGCTGAGACTTCCCCTCCAGTATGGACTGCAACCTCAAACAGTAAGCCAAAACCAACTATTTCTCCCTTAAGCTGCTTTATCAGCATTTATCACAGCAATAGGAATAGTAGCTACTGTAGGGTAAAAAGTCCAAGCTCACTTCTGGGTTTCAGAAAGCCACCGACCCCTGAGCTCAGAAACCAACCAACCCTGAGTTTGGAAACCCACCAATTCTTGAGTTCACCCCAAGCTCAGGCCTTGAAGTCCCGTGAATCCCAACCCTGGAAATCATCCTGGAAGATGCTACCTATCCCCCTGCCAAGAAACCCTACATAAAGCCGGCCTCCTGCTCAGTCCTTTGGTGCTTCTGACCCCAGCAAAGGCAATCACTGTCTTGTGCCTGTCCCAATAAATCTCTTGTGTGAGGTTTGTTGTGTGGTGTGACTCTGTGGTATTCCTTGGCTCCTGACTGCCAGGATACTTTCCCCTTCAGAGATGTAACACTTGCACCGAGGAACTCTTTCTCCTCAGAGCTGCAACACTTACAGCGACTACAGAAGGAGTGGGTCATGGACAGCACAGCATGGGGGGGACACCTAGAGGTCACGTGGAAACTCACCGTTCTCTTCCTCATCTCCATAGCACAGACACAGCCCTGGAAGAGAAAGCTCAGTGAGAGACTGTTCAGCAGCTGTTTCCTCTGACTTGAAACACTACCTCCTGTCTGAGAAGGAAGAGGATAAAATGGTGGGAGTGAGCGGAATCCACAAGGCGCAGGGAGTAAACAAAACCTGCAAGGCTGGTGAAGCTGTCCCGGCTGAGGATATTCACAAGGCCCCTCTTCCAGGGTTATTAAGGCAGTCACCATTGCTGGGGAGAAGAGGCTCCCCAGTCTGCCTGCGCAACTTGCAGGCACTTCCAGGCACTTCCAGGGATGCTGCTTTTATGAGTTATGGCTCATGATGGGGTGAGCTTTTTTCTGATATGCTTAACTGTGTAAGCCCAGCTCCTATAAGTAATCCCTTATACTCTTGGTAAAACTCACTGGTTTACCAAGGTAGACTTGGGTGGAACTGAGGTAGGAAAGTGTAGGAATAGCTGAGCAATCCAGGATGCCACTTGGCTAGAGCAATGTACACACTACTTTCCTTAAAATGTGCATGTCAACTTGGGACCCCCCCACCATGTACATATGCATAATGTCATTCCTCCCTAAAAACTGCTTAGTGACTCCTCTTTTGTGACCAAAAACATCCTGAAACTAAGGGAAATGGTTTGGGGCGCATAAGTAGTAAGTCAAAATGTATCCTTTGAATAAGCATTTAGAGAAAAATTGCTGTTTACTGTAATATACCTATGCATGATTAAAATGAGATGCATCATGGGTAAAGACATGTGCAGCAAACAAAGGCTTACATATCTAGGCCTATCAATCAAGTCCAAAAGGCCACCTCCATGCTGCCCCTAGCAACCAGTCCCTCCTCCTAGACCCACAAAAGGAAGCCCCAGTAGTGACCAAGGGCTCTTGAGCCCTCTAGGTCGAGTAGCCTGGTGTGATCTTGTAGTGTATCTCACCTGTATTTCCCCTTTGATTCTGAATAAAACCTCTTGCTACTTTACCACTTGTGTGTGTATGTCTTCAGTTATTTGAACAAAACACCAAAAAACCTGAAAATACCCGGTCAAGGCCGAGACCACCAATAACAGGGTCATTTCTCTGGTCTGTTGTCAGTGTCCTATCTGGACTGATACATCTTTGTTGGAGTTCTGATCTGTTCTACTTTCATTCCGTTGCTGTGATAAAAACACTCTGATCAAAAGCAACTTGGGGAGGAAAGGGTTTATTTAATTTATACACCCAGGTAACAATCCATCATTGAGGGAAATCAGGGCAGGAACTGGGAGGCAGAAACTGTAGAGGGACTGCTTGCTGGTTCACTCACCCAGGCTCATATTTAGCTGGCTTTTTTATATAGCCCAGGCCCACCTACCTAGGGAGGGGGCCACCTACAGTGAGTGGGGGCCTTCCTGCATAAATTAGCAATCAAGAAATCAAGGCAATCCCCCACAGACATGCCCAATCTGATCTAGGCAATTCCTTAGTGGAGGCTTTCTTCTCAAATGATTCTAGGCTTGTCAATTTGACAAAGCTAACTAGGAGAGAGCTTGAAGGTGGGGTGGTAGCCATTAGAATGGCCATGACTGGTAAGGTAACCTCCTCCTCCTCCTCCTTGTCCTTGTCCTCCTCCTCCTTCATTAATATTTATTTATTTATTTATTTATTTATTTATTTATTTATTTATTGGAGACAGAGTTCCTCCTCCTCCTCCTTCTTGTCCTCCTCCTCCTTCATTAATATCTATCTATTTATTTATTTATTTATTTATTTATTAGAGACAGAGTTTCTCTGTGTAACAGCTCTGGCTGTCCTGGAACTAGCTGTGTAGGCCAGCCTGGCCTCGAACTCACAGAGATCCGCCTCTGCCTCCGGAGGGCTGGGATTAAAGGTGTGCGCCACTACCGCTGGGCAGTAAGTATCTTCTTAATTCTTGTTTTTAAATTCAAGGCTGGGGATCTAGCTCAGCTGGTAGAGTGCTTGTCTGGCATGCATAGAATAGTGGATTCTACCCCTAGCTCCACACAGAGTGGGTATTAATTTGCATTCCTGTCTTGGAATCTCTGCCCTTGGAGGCAGGAGGATGACTTGGGAGGTGGAGGCAGGAGAATGGAATGAAAAAAACATACTAACTAAAAGTGAGGGGCCAAGGATTATACATTGTGTCATTCTGTTTCATACCTTATCCAGAATATGCAAATCCAGAGAGACAGAAATCTCATTAGTAGATGCCAGGAGCAGGAGGTATGGGGAGCTTAATAAGCATAGTGTTTCTGTGGGGGTGATGACAATATCTTGGAACGAGATAGAGGTGGTGGTTGCACAATACTGTGAATATACCAACTGTCCCTGCTGTGTAGACTTTCAAGTAGCTAGTTTTATGTTCTGTGACTTTTACCTCAGTAACTGTTTAAAAATCAATGTGCTGGGTAATTTTACCCTCTCTCATGGAGATTTATATGAATTCACAGCAGCAGTCAGCACAGACTCAAGCCAGTTAAAATTCCAGCATGGTTGCCAGACAGTGATGGTACATGCCTTTCATCCTAGCACTTGGGAGGCAGAGACTGGTAGGTCTCTGAGTTTGAGGCCCCCCTAGTCTACAGAGTGAGTTCTAGGAAAGCTAGGGCCACTCAGAGAAGCCCTGTTTCGGGGGCCAGGGCAGGAAGGGGATTCCAGCATGGAGTGGTGAGGGCTCTGATGTTCCATCCTTAGCTGAAATGCTAATTGCTGCTGAGGGAAGAGGAGTCACTTTGCTTTAGGGGTGTAACCACAGGTAGGTTGCCATGTCCCACTGGATGACTTCATACAATTAGGCATATGGTCAACACTAATTGAACTCAGTGAGATAAGAAAGGAAGGAAGGAAGGAAGGAAGGAAGGACGGAAGGAAGGAAGGAAGGAAGGAAGGAAGGAAGTAAGGACGGAAGGAAGGAAGGAAGGAAGGAAGGGAGGGAGGGAGGGAGGGAGGGAGGGAGGGAGGAAGGAAGGAAGGAAGGGAGATTTGGGAGGGAGATATGGAGAATCCTGGAGGGAGTTAAAGGGGGGAGTGGAGGGGGTAAATGATTAAGATATATATTGTATATATGTATGAAATTTTCAAAGAATAAATATTTATATAAAATATATATGGGGTGGAGAGATAGCACATGTTGTGAAGGCAATACAGACCCCATCTAAGGGTAGGGCCACCATCTTATGCTATCTGCTGTACTCAGTTCCAGAAAGGACCATGACAACTAGAACAGATACAGGGCAGTATGCTCCTACAGACATTCTGTCTGCAGTTTATGGCCCTTGAAGATATCCAGATAATCCTGCTGAGCAAGCTGTGGTTTCATGTTAAAAGTACAATCCAGAAGTCTAGACCAATAGTTTCAAAAAATCACCTTGCCCTATATCCCTTGTACCCAACCCCAAGTTGCCAAAGCATGCAATTGATAGAAATTCCAACCACACCCCCATGGTCGCGCATGCCCTGTGGGACACTTAGTCATTTCCACCTAGGCATTTCTGGGTCATACGTCCTATGTAACCCATGCCCCATGGCTGTGTGATCACATAATTGCGTGGCATGACCATGTGATCTATGCGCACGTGTGGAATAGCCACATGGGCCTGTGTGCACAGGTGTGAGCTGGCCCTTAAAAAGACAGGCCCCATGTTCCCCTGCCCCCTTCTCACACATGTCCTTCTGCAGGCCTGATCACATCTATCCCTTTCTCCTTGTCTTAATAAAACTCTTGTTAGTGGATTCCGTAATGTTTTGTGACTTTTCCTCGCACGGTAAGAGCGCCGCTAAAAACCATCGGCAATTCCCGGCTTGCAGTTTTTCCCTATAAAATCTCTCTACCTCTGGGCCCACTGCCGCTGTATTTCCCTCCATCTGCCTGGTGGTGGCCCAGGTTGAACCTGACAATAAAAGGACCCTTATGTGCTTACACTGGAAACCATCTCCTTGGCGGTCTCTGGGGGTTTTTCAAAACAGGTACAACAATGTTAAGACTTTTGACTGTCCTTCCAGAGAACCAGGGCTCTATTCCCAACTACCACAGGGTGGCTCCTGTCTGTAACTCCATCTCTTCAACTCCTCCAATAAGGCCACACCTCTTAATCCTTCCCAAATACTTCCACCAACTGGAGACCAAGCATTCAAATGTATGAGCCCAGGGGGTCCATTTCCCTTCAAGCCACCACAGTGATTGAGGTTTCAAAGCTGTAGAACCACAGCTGCCCAGGACCCTTGACCCATGAAGTAGCATGCCAGCAGAGCAAAGGAAAAATGATGTGGCAGCATCAAGCCTGACTCAGACTGCTCACAGAGGTCAGACCCACAGTTGCCCTCAGTGAAGTTCCTCACATTGATGCTGTGTGTCAACTTTTGACTTCACCTTACTTCTGGAAAACTTTTGATATTGGAATCTATATAAACATTTGTAGTCACTTTATTTTTTTTTTATAGAAAGAGTTACTACTGAGTGTATATGATGCATGTGTGTTCTTGTGGGAGTCTCTAAGTGCATACATGCCACGGCATGAGTGTGGAGATCAAGTTTTGGGATTTGGTTCTCCTCCATCATTGGATTAACATCCAGGGATTAAACTCTGTAGTCAGTGAAGGGCTCTAATGGGGCCAAGTGTGGCAAACATGGTGCCCACATGTCCCTGGTCCTCTTCCTTTCTTTCTTTTGTCTCCCTTATTTGGCCATTTCCTTATTCCTGAAACTGACTGTCAAGGCTAATCCACCAGATTCTCTAGCTAGAATTCCACTTTTTTTCTCCCTAAAACCCACTCCTGCAGAGCCGATTTGCTGCCCTTTCTGTCTGATTCAGATTCGACTACTCGGTTTCTCTGTCTTGCTTAATAATGGAGCTCTTTGTGTTGGAAATCGGTGTTTGGGTGTGGTCTGTGCCTAATCTGGGGTCCACTCTATGGTGGTGCACACGTTTTATCCCAGTACTCAGGAGGTAGAGGCAGGCAGATCTCTGTAGGCTCCAGGCCATTTCTGGCTGTTTAGTAAAACCCTGCGTGCTAGTTTGAATGAAATGGCCCCTATAAACGCATAGGGAGTGGCATTGAAAGGATTAGTACATGTGGCCTTCTTAGAGGAAATGTGGGAGAAATATTTCAGTGGGTGTAAGCTTTGAAGTTTCAAATGCTCAAGCCAGGTCCAATGTCTCTCTCTTCCTGCTGCCTGCCACTCCAGATGTATAGCTCTCAGCTACCTCTCCAGCAACATGACTGCTGCTGCCATGCTTCCCACTATGATGATAATGGACTAAATCTCTGAACCTATAAGCCAGCCCCAATTAAATGTTCTCCTTTATAAGAGTTGCCAAGGTCACAGTATCTCTTCACAGCCATAGAAACCCTGACTAAGACCCCCTGTCTTTAAATATAGAATTAAACAATGTAAAACAATAACAACAATGAACAGTGCCCCCAAACACATTGCCAGCTGCCACCAGAAGCTACAAGCTGCCAAGAGAGGCATGGAACAGTATCTCCCTCCCCTCCTTCCAAAGGAACCAATGTTGTCTACACCTTGATCTCTGTAACTCACATAACCGAGAAAATTATTTTCCTTTTCTTAAAAAAATTTTTTATTAAGAAATTTTCTATTCATTTCACATACCAACCACAGATCGCCCTCTCCTCCCTCCCCCCACTCCCCACCTTTCCCCCCTAACCCACTCCCCCAATTCCACTTCCTCCAAGGCAAGGTCTCCCATGGGGAGTCAGCAGAGCCTGGTACATTCAGTTGAGGCAGGTCCAAGGCCCTCCTCCTTGCACCAAGGCTGCACAAAGTGTCCCACCATAGGCACTAGGCTCCAAAAAGCCAGCTCATACACCAGGGATGGATCCCAATCCCACTGCCTGGGGGCCCCCTAAACAGTTCAAGCCAAACAACTGTCTCACCTATCCTGAGGACCTAGTCCAGTACCATGGGGACTTCCTTTGTTTTAAACCAATAGGTTGGTGGCACTTGGGTACAGCAGCTCC